ATATAAGTATTCAAATTTTTACAACCCAAAGTCTACCAACAGTTTAAGCATACCAAATATATCCAAGAAAATATAATGGTGAAGCCCAAACTATTTCTTATTATGCCTTTATTATTTTATTTAGATACATAGGTTAAATAATAAACATATACCAAATGTGCATTATAAATTCTCAGAAAATTACAGTGGCTTACTAGTGCTATCAATAGATCACTGTAAAAGTTTCATGCCATTTTACCAAGTAAAACATCCTATACAAAAATGACAAGGCAGCAAGGCTTGAAATAACATAAATAGAAAACCTTAGTGAAAAGTGTCAAGCAACAGATTTCCTATTTTTCTTAGCATCCTTATGGTACTAGGATTACCCCCAACAAATTTCATGAATTTTGGATTCATAAATAATTTATAAAAATTCATACAAGGATTAACTATTTATAAAAGAAAAATCTATAACTATAAATCTACCCTTGCACTGATCCTCAAATTTTTACCAGAGCTCATACATGACAAGAATAGCTTACCACAAAAATTTCATAATTTTTGGAGCACAGGAACTCTAGATATAAAATAAACAAATTTGCATGCATTCAAAAACATATTTCAAATCTCTATTTAAATCTTCCAAAAATCCTACTGTAAGTGCCAAGAATATATTTTTCCTAAATACTACACTTCCTAAGGAACACTACACAATTTATTGCACAATTTTTGAAGCTACCAAACTGGAGATATAAAAATCACAAAACAATTCAAAATCTGGAATCAAATGACCTATCCTATCTCCTGCTGTCGCTGACCGGTGGGACCCGTCGGTCAGAGGACCCCACATGTCATCGAGACAAGAACAGAGCAGGCGACGCTACTCTACTGGCACGGCCAGAGCTCGCCGACGGCGAACCTGCCGACGGTGACATCTTCACACGGTGATCTACTCGACCTCGCGCACACATTGCACTACTCGGTGGGACCTCTCGTCGGTGCTAGCAACGGCGGCGGCGGCCATGGCGGGGCGGAGGTGCGGGACGACGGTGAGACGCCGGTGGAAGCTACGGCGACTCGATCAAACGCTACACCGAGCATCACAGAGCTACGACGAACCTAGCTAGCGCTCTAGCGTGGCCTGGGGTGGTCTGGTTAGGTGGGACCACGGTGACGGAGGTAGCGGCGGAGCTCCGGCGAGCACTTGCACGGCGCGGAGGCTTACCGAGCACAGTGAGTGAACACTGGTGGACGCGGTGGGTTGCTGGGGTGGCGGTGGAGCTGTTGTGGTGGCGGAGGAGCAGCGAGGACGAGCTGTCGTCGGCAATGGCGCCGGCGGCTCTCGGTGCCGAGGCTTAGCTGCTGCGGGCGCTGCGAACGGCGAAGGAGAAAGCCAGAAATGCAAATGGGAAGCGCAGGGCGATGCAGGCGAGCGCGGGGGTGTTGAAGGCGCTCACTGGCCCGGCGTGGCCTGGCAGGGCAGAGCAAAGGCGACGCGCGACCTCTTCTCCTCCACGCGGCAGCCATGGTCTGAAGGCGGTCGGCCACTGAATCGCCCGATTCAGTTAGTTCAGAGTCCGCGAAGAAGCCTGACAGCGCGTTTTTGCAAAGCTCGATCTTCCAATACGTGAAGAATTAGCGCGCATAATCTAAACCGAAATTGTAGACCTATGCTCCAGCTCAAATTTCTATTCAAGGACCCAGTGCTAATTCACGACCAGTGCCGAGAAAAATCCATCCAAAATCGAGCTTGTCAGCTGTCAATCGAAAAGACTTGGTGAAATTTGCTGAGTGTTGAAATCAGTGCTTTGATGATTTTTGTGATCCAAATTCAATCATGTTAGAAGCTAAATCAGTCAATGACCTAAAAATAAAAGTTGTTCCCCATGCCAAACACTACAACTTTGCTTTAATGACCTCATCCATGCAAGGTCTCTAACACCTAGTTCAAATTTGATCAAACATGTCATATTTAAATGATGATACACTTCAAAGCATGGCTTAATGACCTAATTACCACTAACCATGAATATCAAAGTTGTTCATAATGACACTCTAACCATGTTTAAGCAATTTGCAAGGTCATTCAATCATTTCATGCATTAGTCACTCATAGAGCTATTTAGTGTAATCACATGAAATATGACTTACGGCTCGATCATGGGAAATGACATTCATGAACTATGTTCCATTTGCTAACCTAAGTGTTGCCATTATATTTTTGTGACTCAAATCAACCATCTACATGTATACACTCATGATCATATGCAATAACACATGGAAACATGAAATAATGAGGAAAGTTGCATATGTTCAAAGAAACATGCGATAACAAGCAAATGTTACAGATGTTTCAATCAAATGTTTCAATTGTAAATGCTTGTTTATGAATGCTTGATGATCATGCTCATGTTATGCAAGTCAAGTTATGCAAGGCTAACACCCGAGGTGTTACAGTCGTGGCGATTGCGACGAATGTCGTCGAAGACGCTCTTGGAGATGGTGGCAAGGATCCAGTTGATGACGCATGAGTCGACCATGCGCCACTCGCGATCACGCTTGTCGGATGGGGTGGGAGAGCGAACGTGGCCCTTGAGGCCGAACTTGCCGAGGGTCGAGTCAAAGAAGAGGCGCCGCTGGCCGTAGTTCCCCTCGTCCATGTCGAGGGTGACTGGGACATGGTGGCGTATGGAGATCCCCTGGATCGGAGAAGCGGAGGCGGGAGCGATGGAGAAGCCATGGTCGGAGGAAGCGTCAGAGTGATTGGAGGAGGGCGCCATGGGAGCAGAAGATGTGGCGAAGAGATTCTTAAGAACCTTGGGTTCTGATACCATGTAGAATAAGATTGATCAACTGGACACTTGTATTGATCATATGCTGTGTACATATATAGGTTACAGTGGTGGCCATTGGCCATGCCTGTACACGCGAGAGCGGGCGAGCGCGCCTGGCGGGATCGCGGGCGCCGTGGAGACTGGGCACGCGTGTGCGCGGTGAGCGAGTCGTGGGCGCGGCGAGTGCGTGCGTGGACACGGCGAGTACGCGCAAGGCGCGCTGGTTGTTGAAGATCCGAAGGACCCGGTCGCTCTAGCCGTTGTGGAGTTGGTTCCACTGACAGGGCGGAGGAGCGAAGCACCGAGCAGAGGAGCGCGAGCAGTGACAAGACTTGGACGCGAGGCTTAGCCAAGCTAGGCCCTAGAAAAACGGATCGGCAAAACGTGCGTACGGCGGCCAGCCGAAGCCTGGCTAAAGCCCAAGAACAGACAACCAAACATCCACATCTTTGTTCTAGCAGGTTTGCCCAGGAGTTGGCCACCCAACCAAACAGGCTCTATATCTACGTACATGGATGTGGACCCCTTAGAATTGGGCTCATGGTCATGGACATTGCCCCCCGACGACGCGTCGACTGGTCTTCCTCAGAAGGCTCGCTCCCTGATCTTGCCGCCCCCAGGCGTCCTGGTCCTGCCTGCTCTTCTCCACTATAACCCGTATGGCCGTATTATATGATGATAGAGAAAGCCGAAAGCCCGTTGGGCTGGAGTGATCTGGTTTACGTCGCTCTCAAGCCTCGGCCTTCTGGCCACTTGCTGCTTCAGCTTTCATCGTTTCATCGTGCATGAGCAGCAACCAGCATGGCTAACAATTAAACCATGTGGTCTCTTCTTCTTGTACTTACCTCCATTTTTGTTTACTTGTCACCGAATTTTACTGTATCAATTTTGACCATACGCTTTTTCTGCAAAAGATTTTTAGATACGTCAAGTTTTCACATATATGATTCTTTATTGAACATACTTCATTAGTGTTATATATATTGAAGTATCTAAGATTTTTTAAGAAGAAAAAACAGATGATCAAATTTACTACAGTAAAAAGTTGCTGACAACTAAAAACAAACGGAGAAAAGTATCATTCGTTGGTCGCGGCTTATCAAGTTAAATTACAAGTGTTTATTTGTTTATTTACCAGTGATGGATCTTTGCCGTGCGTTTCCTCCTCCTCATCCTTTGTCGGCTCATCATCGTCTGGACGGATACATCCACACGTCTCTAATCCCGTTCCTCGTCGGAGTCCAGCATGGAAGGCAACAAGAATCTGCAGCCTTCTTTAAAACGAAAGATAAGAATCTGTCAGCACTTTGATGATGGGCACCCGCACCTTATGTGCGACTGCAGACAAAACTCAAAATCAAACTGCTGCACCAGTTTTATTTACCGGTCTGCTGAATTGGTCCAAACATTAAGCAGCAGCAGCAGCAGTCCAGCCATTTTTCTAGATCGTCATTCGTCAGTCGTCATTCGTCATTCGTCAGTCTTAACCAAACTAAATAGTGCATGCGTGCACGGCGGACCAAGAGTGATGACTGCGAACAGCTAGTCCGCCACGTCTGGGACGGACCCGGAGAGGCGGAGACGCCTGTATTACAGACGGCCCCGTTCGCTGAAAAAATAAGCCGAAATACTGTTCCGACTGATTTGTTGTGAAAGAAAAACATTGTTTCGACTGAAAAAACAAGCTGAAAAAGACGGATTATAAGAGAAACGAACAGGACCGATGAGGTGAAAATGACGGGACAAGGAAAACGGCTGCTACTTACGCATCAATGCCAGTAAAAAGGAGAAGATGATAGCACTAGTTAGACATGGTCCAATTAGGCTGAAAGGCTTATAGCGGAAAGCTCCATCTGGTAGAAAGCTGTATGACCGAGCGCCGATTCGACGATCAATGGCCCAAACTCGAATCGCAAATCAAGTAAGGCCTAATACAAAGATGTCACGAAAGAGAGTAGTATTTATCGAAACACCCATCAGTTTGAAAATAGAAACATTATTGAGGTCGTGTTCTGGAGTACAAAGTTCTCTGCGGCACGGTAATAACAACCCTGCATACTTTCACAGCAACGCGATGCAAAAGTCGTGATTAAAGCGTAAGCGTTCAGGAAACATTAATTGGCAGGGGAAACTGAGAGTGAGAACCACCATCCCATTTTCGTAGCAGAATTCAGCACGTACCAGCTAGATATTTGCTACTCCAACGACGTAGGCGTTCCAAGCATCTCCTTGATTGAAACGCTGCGAATCTTCGTACTTCACGTCTCGGTTGGCATTATATTCCTTGGCGTTTCCACTTGACTGGGTATTTGGCATCTCCCTGATCCAAACGTGGACCGACTTGAATCCAGCCTCCTCCAAGCAGTCCTTGATCTCTGGTATCGACCATCTGCCCAAGAGCAGCAAGAATTACACATTTGAAGATGGTACTCCTCTACTTGCAGAAAATAATCATTTTTTTTTTGCAGATGCAGTGCATAATGTCCAGAGATAAAGATAAAATGGGAAGGAAGCTTCACTGGTACTTAAAGTGTACGGCTGACGACAATTACAGAAAGCCCAAAGATAATATCCTTCTTTCTATGAAAATCTGGTGGGAGAAGTCACTACAGGGAAGATCAATAACTCAACAAAGAACAACAGCAGCCATCTTGATGTACTCAGCCTGAACATTTCGAAAGAGCGAAACCGGAGAACCTTCGAGGGGACAACGCGGACGCCAGCTCAAGTGCTGGGGCTCATCAAGGAAGAGCTAGGCCTCTTCAGTAGAGCACTGGGAAAACTACAGTTACCGCCATGAGTCCTTTCTTTTATGCTACCTGCCTTTTGAGTTTGAGTGGTTTAGCTATGTCATAACCTTTAAGCTGTAAACTGGATTCTTGCTCCTCTCTTATATGATATAGCAGTGCTCCTGCTGATTATTCCAAAAATAATAATATCCTTCTTTATTAAGAGCTACTACATAGATATGGCATTGGAAGAAAGCATACTGTCACAGAAACGTCTAAAGCAAACGCCAGCCAAGAAAATTTCAGATAGATGCTGCAAGCCAACCACATGCCATGCACGGTGCAATACTGCAATCAAAAACTTGTTAAACCTATAACTAGAGTTTCAATGAGTTCTAATGCTAATGGATTAGTGTAGTAGCTGAAAGAGTTACACACTTGCAGCCTCTGTAACATTCCACCAAGTGAATGGGAATAATAAGGAATGATTCTGAAGTGAAGTTTTGACAAGTAACGTTTAAGCTACTTACAGGCGCCAATGGTATGTGAAAGCATGCCTCAGCATTTGTTTTTTTCCAGCTTGAAAGTGGAGACTGATCCTTGTTTGGCGACTGATGATATCAAACTCATCTTGCTCCCAGAAATACTGTATGCAAGGTTATACATAACGGGGAGAAAAATTCAAGATTTAGTACTGCTCTACTCTGATTAAGCAACTGCAAACTGCGACGTATCAATTTGCAAAAGTACAAGGGCGCAAATTATAAGACTAGGACGCTAAACCCAAAGTGTAATGGAGATATTATAATCTTTACACACTACCAAAGATCCAACCTAAATTTCAAAACAACTAAAGATATTTAAGAAATATAAAACCAGGTCAAACAAATATATCTCATTCATTCCACAGATGGCAACTCTTTGTGAGTTGCTAACTTTAAATGTCTTATATTAGCTTACTACATTTCCATGCCAAATTAAATCAAATATAACATATAACTGCAGAAAAATGAACTGGGACACCAATAGAAAATTATATTGCTCAAGAAAATATTGCACTCAAACATATTCTATGTTGCATATTACTGACAATGCTACCAATAATCTGTTGGCACACTGTAAATCTAAATTCTTACAGACAGTGCAAACCTTGATCGAAAAAAGAAACATAGCAAAATATAAATATATGCCTATCCTAGGATATTTTGTGTCTACCATGTTTCCTTTGTGATTTTGTAACTACTATTCAATGCTAACAATTAACCCAACAACGCTCACCGTGAAGCTGGGGAATTTCCGCTGGAGACGTAACTTACGTTCAGATGATGTGCCACCATATACATCCATTACAAATATACCACCTCTTTTCGAGAGCGCACTGCATACATGCCGGAAATACAAAACCAAGTCCTTTCGACTATGCAGGCAACAACAGCTGTAGTTGAATGCACAGATAATATCCCTTCCAGGAAAAGTTGCCTCTGACATGGTCGAATTGGCTAAGCACTTCGAGTCAGCAAGACCCGTCTGCTCGCAACTGTTACTTCCTGAGCCATTGTCGCTGTTCACATGGAGACCATGCACAAGATCACTAAACTTCTGCTTGACAAGACGGGCATCCTTGGGTTGTAGAACATTTCCATGGAAAAGCAACATTCTTGAATATCCATCAGCTCCAATCTTGCTTAGGTTGTTTTCAAGGCACCACTCAAGTGACTCAAGGTCCAAATCTAAGCCGATTGCTGTTCTTCTTGCATCAGTATGGATCCACTCGGTGCTGCCAAGATGAAGGCCATAAATCATGAGCAATAGATATATCCACACTAAGGGCATGTTCAGATCCATTGGTACTAATTGTTAGCAGCTAAATTAGTACTAGTGGATCCAAAATACCTAACTAATAATCCAATTAATAGCTCAAAAAATAAACTACCTAGCTAAAAAGTTATTAATTGGCTTTCCCAAACTAAGTACTACTAACTACTCCATCCATTCCAAATTATAAGACGTTTTGGCTTTTCTAAATACATAGCTTTTGCTATATACTTAGATATACACTAAGTCTAGATGCATAGTAAAGCAATGTATGTAGAGAAGCCAAAACATCTTAGATAGAGGATCCAAACGGAGCTCAACTAATAGGTTAGCTAATAGCTTCACTAATAAAAAGTTATTAGCTAGTTTCCTTCGGCTAGCAACTAACTATTAGCATTAATGCATACAAATTCCAAACAGGGTCTAAATCTAAGTCATCTCTATAGTCTCTACTCTGTAACATATTCAACAAAACAAAAGTTTTTTTTTTGGCTAAATAGTAACCATTGAGACACGTGTGGTACCTTCTAAAAACATGTGCACCAGCAGCAGAATGGAAATATATGGAAATGATTTCTTGCTAAAAGGGCTGTAAAACACAGCACAAAGCATCCAAGGTAACCGATAAAACGAAGACAGGACGTTCACACAGAGGCTACATGCTAGTGCTTTGACCTGAGAAGGGCCGTGCCACAGAAATCCTCCTGCAGGTGGAGAGGAACGCGCCCGCCGACGTACATCAGGAAGAACTTTTGCAGGTAGCTGATGTCCCCCTTTGGCGACTAAACACAAAATATCACACGCATTGGCATATCGTCGAACAAGTTGTGAACACAGAGGCTTTTCACAAATCCAAGCTTTTCATGAATCTAGCTGAGGTATCAGGTACCTGCACGGAGAGCTGGTATAGGTGAAACTTGGAAGGCATTGATCCGGCTCGCCATTGGTCCTGCTCGCCTGCTTCCGCATCCCTCTCTGGTTCGTCCTCCGCTGTTGCTTCGCTGGTGTCGTCGTTGTCGTCAGAGGAGTCCTCGTTTTGGCGCGGTGGCGCGTCGTAGGCTGACGAAGGTAAGTCGTCGCCGTCCTCGTCGCCGAAGTGCGACGCCCGGCGGCCGCGGCCCTGCCGGTGCGATTCCCTCGGTTTCTTTCCGCTTTTGCCCATCGATTTGTCCGGACTCTGGAGACAAACAGCAGCGCTTTATTTGGAAACTGGAGTAGTAGAATCTACTTTTTGCAAAACAATCCTCGTGCTTGTTCATATTTATTTTTGTATGCTTATAGAGACACACATTCGTCGTAGGCGTAGGAGTACTTTTTTGTAAAAGGCAAGGCAATACAAGCACTCTGGAGTATTTTTGTATGCTTATACAGGTGGCCTTTGGTTCGAGGCAAATGAAGGGGTAGATTTGAACCCTTGTTTTGATATTTATTTATAATTAGGCAGCGTGTTCGTGCGTTGCTACAGGATAACTAATAATTTATACTAAAAACATATGGATCGTACGATAAGATAACAATACTGTTAAATTAAATATCAATGTTAAAGTGACATTTAATCCAAAAAGCAAAGTTTATGAATTTAACACAGTCACGGAGTTTGCGGCGTCGTAGGCTCACAAACTCTAGAGCTTCCAGAGATTGGGTCGAATCCAACCTAGAGCCTTGGAACCCTGCATCTTTTTCTAGACGGGCTTCACTTCGGATGCGCCGGTAGCAATATCAACGATCTCCAGTCGATGGACCAAGTCGTATGGATCCCCATACAATGGCTCAGACATGTAGATTATGTTCTCGTTGTACTTGGATACACTTGTTCCACTGAAGCTTTTCATTGAAATGTTTAGACACGAACAATGTCTGATCACCGATGTCCCTCACCCTGGACCACTCCGGCGTACGGTCGTGGAGGTTACACTTGTAGATCGTGTTGCTGTAGATGAAGATCTGTGTCTCGTGGAACGTGCTCACCATGGCACCCACAATATACAGCTCACCGTTTGATTCCAGGTAACTGCGGTGGCAGAGCCCCGCAGGTGGCGACAGCGATGGCAGCAGCGTCGCAGTTGGAGTAGCGCCGGCGGCGTTGCTGCTGCAGACGGAGATTTCTCCAGTGCAGTCGATCGCCAAGAACTTGTCTTGGCAGTGGACGATGGATCCCACGGAGAACTCCAGTTTGGTGTCGAGCAGCGTCCATGCGCTGTCGACTCCAACCCGACAGAACGCGATCTCCGTGGAGCACCCAAGCATGGCCATGGCCATGCACTCGTGGCCGACGACATCAGGCGGCGCCGAGAGCAGGATCTCACGGAAGAACACGTCCCTCATGTCTTCTAGCTTGATGGCTATGCCTGCGGCATCCGCGTCCTCGTAGCCGTTGGTGAGATGGAGGACCCACCGGTCGTGGACCCTAGACACGCGTTCCGATGAGGACGCCGCCATGACGTGTTCGTCTGCTGGTGGGAGCTCAACACGGGGGGCACGGGCATCGACGAATGGATTCAGCAGCGTCACGGACGCCGCCTCGTCCACGAGCACCAACCACCCACACGAGGAGCCGCACGCCACCTTACCGCGTATGTCGGGTAGCGTCTTAGACAAGACCTTCTTCTCCGGGACACAATAGAAGCCGACGCGGTCCGAGTCGGGGTTGAACGGGAGCAGCGGGAGCGGCCCGAAGGTCGCGAACGGGACGACGGAGCGCCATGCGGAGCAAGCGGATCGGAAGGACGCCGCGTCGTGGCCTGACGCGAGACGCTGCCCGATGGACTCGAGGAGATCCTCTAGCAGGCCGGATCTCCAGTCAGTGAGAGGTAGGGATCTTCTTTTGGGATTAGGAGGTTGAGCCTTGTAAGACAGATGACATCAACTATGGTTCACGCAAGAAACAGCAAGCGAGGCGCGATGGAACACGTGAGCGTGAAACCAAATGAAAGGAGGAAAAAGCTGTCCATTTTATAAATGCAAAGAGGGGAAGTAATTAAATGTAGGCAGATTTGACAAGGTTCTCAGAAATGCAAAGATGATCCTTTTGTCTTAATTATCTTTCCTTCTGTGTTAATTCTCTTTTCTTTTGCTCGTTGCCATGTATGCTGGTGCATGCAAACATGCAATGTGTATATGGATAGCACAATAATTTTCTACTTCCTATTTTGTCACGATTCCTCTATCACATGATAGGCAATATTCAATCAAGGAGAATGGCACGATCAATCAGTAATTAAGATGTCGTGGGATCACAGGCGTGGGCAGACGGACGAACCAAAATAAATGTCGCACCAAAAAATATCCACGCTTTGTTCTTTTTAGTTGTAGGAGATATAAAGAGAAATGAAATTGGATTGTTGAAAGGAAAAGGATCTGTTAGGTGACATTCAGGCCAACTAAATTTTTTCCATGCACTTATACACTGGCTTATTACTATATTTACAATGATTTTTTCAGTGAAATTTATTAAACATAGTGGTGTAATTCAGATATAATACAATATATGCTATTTTTTAGAAAAAATTAGAAATTATTTCTATGATTACATATATCAGAGAAATTATTCACAAATTTCAAAAACAATTACAAATCGTTCACAAATTAAGGTGGGGCCCACACTCCAACCTTATGCCTTCCCCTTCGCATCCCCGTGAGCCGCACACGTCGCGCCTCCTCATCGGCCGGTCTCCTCGTCGCCGGGCACCGACCATCCTCGTCGCCGCCGACCACACACATACCCAGCCGCTTTGCTGGGTTGGGTCATACCGACATGACATGGTCAGGGCCACGAGGTCTGAGCCCGGCGATAGACCGGGGCAAATCAAGCGGTGGTCAAAGTGGCGATGAGAAGGGCGGCGGCGGCGTCGAGTCTGGCGGTCTGCAGGTGTCGGGGCGGAAGCCTCGAAGTCGGAGTATGGGCTGTGTGGTGCCGGGGGAGCGGAAGCCTGCGGGCATCGGATTGCGGGTTGTGCGGTGCTGGGGGAGCGGAAGCCTGCGAGCTGGATCAGACGCCACCCAGCGCGCCACAAGTCCGATCCGACATCGCAGAATTCAGTTGATAGATGCAGCAAAATCAGTCGGTTGACAAATAGCAATTCTGAAGGGAAAAGGTGGCTATGAGTTTGCTACGCTGTCTGTGGGCATAGGGAATGGACCTTCTTACGCTCACTGTCGTCCTGGGTCGGAGCGCCGCTGGCCTCCTTCGAGTCGTGGAATCCCCGTACCGCCGCCATAGAACCCGGAGTCGTATCTTGTTTCCCGCGAGGGCTGCCAGACCCAGAGGTACTGCTCGCTCGCTTGGCTGCGCGGGAGGAGTATCTTGTCTCACCGCGCAAGCCACATCTCGCCTCGCCATGTGGACCGCCGGAGGCGCAAGTTTTCTCTCCACGCGGGCACTGTGACCAGCTTGGCAGCTTCTACGCTCACCGCACGGGCCACCGACTCACCAGCTCGTCAAGCCATATAGGCAGGCCTGTTCGCTTGGAGGAATTTGGAGAAATCTGGATGAATCTGGAGAAATTTATGAGAGCATAAACAGTGTTTTCCATCCGAAAACAGTGAAATCCGGCTGGTTTTCACACTAGCCGAACGCAGCCGAAGTTGCTAGCGGCACACTCGCATGGCCCCCCGAGCGGGGACCAGAAGCAGAGAAGTGAGCTCGATGAGTTGACTATTGACGAGACGATGGGGAAGTAGAAGTAGACGGGACGATAGTAAGGCCCTGTTTGGTTCTCTAGTCCATGGACTAAAGTTTTAGTCCACTTTAGTCCATGAACTAAAAGTAGACTAAAGTGGTGTTTGGTTCTTTGAACTAAAATGGACTCAAGTCATTAAATGATGTGGAAGAAAGACCCTTTTACCCACCCTTTTACCCTTCTCCCCACCATCCTGCTACCCCTGTTCATGTTTCTGGTGCCACTCTGTCCCCTCCCCATCCTTATTCCCCTTCATCCCAATCCTTCCAAAATGTCCACGGATCCAGAGATTAGCACTTTCTTAGTGAGGATCCTAGCTTTGGGCTAGCAGATATGGAGTTCCTGACATCCATCATCGACACGGTGTTCTGGTCGCTCAAGGACTACGTCGCGCGGACCGTCAGCTACACCATGTCCTGCGGCGACTACATCGACCTGTTGGTCGACGAGATGAGTGAGCTCAAGAGCAAGCGCGATGACATCCAGCGCATGGTCGCCGCCGCCCTCAAGGAGAAGGCCAACTTCCATAAGGTCATCGATGAGCTCGTGCAGTTGCGCTTCGAGGAGATGCCCATTCGAGGAGGCAGAGGTCCAGATCCCGGTCTCGTCCCCGCGCGCACGCCGACGAGCTAGCGCCGACGGCCGCGGGGCGGGGGCTCCTTGGCGGTGGAGAGGTGGAGCACCGTGGCCAGCACCTCCATCACATGGCCGGGCGAGAGGGCGGCGGCGGTTGCGGGGTCGACGGCAGCAGGGGCCGAGCAGGAGGGTGGTGGCGGAGGAGGGAGCCGGGTGGTAGGGCGGCGGTGGGCACGGCCGACGGGGGGGACGGAGGTGGGGAGCCGGGCGGGAGGAAGGCCGGCGGCGGGGGGCCGAGCGAGAGGGAGTCGGGTGGGAGAGAGAGGGGGCAATAAATAAGGGGCATGGGTGTCCCAACACCTTTTAGTCCATTTTAGTCCAGTTTTGTGGACTAAAGGACTAAATGACCTTAATCCACTTTTAGTCCAATTGTTTGGCTGTTTAGTCCAACTAAAATACATATTTTAGTCCAAAATACTTTAGTCTATGGGAACAAACACCCCCTAATTCTTTTTTGTACCTTTTTTGTGGGTTCCACTGCTGCCACCAAGGTAAATCCAAACATGGCAAGAGGTTATTGGGCATTTGGGCCTGCTGGCTACTGCTATTTGCAGATGTTTGGGCTGTAGCTGTTCAGCGAAGCCCATCGGCTGTACGCAAAGCAGCTCTAGGCCTCTAGCTGGACAGCAAAGCGAGAGGCGAGGGGCTCGGGCGGGCGTCGGAGTCGCCTCTGAGCTCTGGCGGTCTGGCCAGGACCTGCGTCTCCACTTTCCTCTCGAGCGCAGATCGAACCTACCTAGTGCCGACGGTACCTCATCCCTCAACCCGTTCCCATCCGGCGGCGGGAGCTCCTGGGTGAGTCGATGAGGACGTCGCACCACCACATCCGGCCGATGCGCAGTGCTCACCACTCACCACAGCTACCGCATTCCTCAACTCCATTCCCGTACGTTGGCCTGGTCGGCTAGTCCTTACCTGGCTCATCCCTACCTGGTTCAACTTTTCCATCCTTCTAACCCTATCGCATTCCCCATGACAGTCCAAACGCCACCACAATCCCCGCTTCACCGAACGGGGGCTTTTTACATATTTACCATTATTATGATCGCCACTTATAGGAATCGGACTCTTAGAATGACGCTTACAAATTTAGCCATTTTAGTTCGCGCTCCTTTCATTTTTATCACTTTCGTCTATGTGGCACGCCAGCTCGTGCTGACACGCTGGCACCGGCATGGGAAATGACCCCGCTGCCCCCGGCCATCTTTCAATCAGACGCGCCGTTGCCCTCTCCCTTTTCCCCCTCCCCATTTCGTTCGCCGCCGCCTCCTTCCTCTGCCCGCCCGCCGCCCCCATCCTGCTCGTCTCCACCGCCACGGCCACCACGGACGGCAACCATGTCACATAGGGCGGAGTCATCTAGCTCGAGTAGGCCGACGAGGAGGCTGAGTTCTGCGGTCGCTAGGTTTGTGGCCTATCTGGTTGGAACAGAAACAGGGCTCCCCTTGATTGTCTGCCCCGATTGCAAGCTCGCTCGTGTGATTGAGCTTCGCCTGGTGCAGGACACTCGAAACAAGGGCCGCAGCTTCTTCAAATGCCCTAGAAACGGGGTGAGTTTTGGTGATTTTCCTTTTTCCTTCATTCTAGCCCTAGCTTGTCTTATTTATTTCTTTTTTTTTGCACAACCCGTAGCTCTGTAGCTTCTATAGGTTCCAGAAGGCTTATTTGGATGAATTGGTTGACAAGAAGATCATTAGGATCTGCTGCGAGGAGATTGAGGAACTGGTGGAGGAGGGAGGAGAAGAGCACAGTGAAGGCGCCCATCTGGGGGTGGAGGGCTTGAAGGACCTGAAGACTGAGGCACTGGAGAAGAAGCTTGAGAAGATGATGTCAAAAATGAACTATGTCATTGTTTGTCTTGTGGTTGTTGTGTTTGGAGTAGTTTTCAAATCTATGATGACCTGATGTAGTGACTTTTTATGACAATGAACCCTTTTATTTCAATGAAATTGGTTGTTCAGTATGCTTGAATGAATGAGCAGTTGGAATTGTGCATTCTCAGTTTCAAATGAATGAGCAATTGGAGTTGTTTTCAGTGAATGAGCAGTTACAACCAACTTGTAATGAAAAAGAGCAACTGCAAGCTTACATTGAAATAGGGGCTAATTGTTTGTCATTACATTACATAAATAAGATGTTCTTGACATTCAAATAGGGGCTGGTTTGCCATCACATAACTGAGATGTTCTTCACTACCAAAATAAGGGCACCATGCTTACTGTTTCTGTGCCCATTTAAGTACATAACATAAATTACATGCCATTGAACACAAAAGTTCTAGATCATTGCATAAAAGACCATCCATGGTCACTTGGCCTTGGCCTTGCCCTTGCCCTTCCCCTTGTCCTTCCCTCCATTCTTCTTAGGTGGTGGAGTTTTCTTCACTTTAGTTGCTAACTGCTTCCTCCTTGGTGTAATTTTCTTCACAGGCTCAGGTTGGACTTCATCTTGTGCAAACAGTGCCCTATTATAGGAAAAACATATTTAGTTACCAGCATAGTTTCAATTAACCATCTTAAAGAAGATGAAATGAGTACCTTCTAATTGGTGTTTCTGGTAGAACAACTTCCAAAGCCATTAGTTCCAGGCCTCCTTCTTCTTCCCTTGCTGCTTCAAATTCATTTCTTGTAGCTTCCATTTCCTCCCTTGCTGCTGCTTCTGCTAGTTCCCTTGCTGCTTCTGCCTTCATTTGTGCTTCCAGGGCCTCCCTCTTAGCTTTTGCTGATGCTTCTCTTGCCAATGCTGCTCTTGTTCTTGGAGTTACTGCTTCATCACCACCAGATGTCTTGGCCTTCTTCCTTCCAACCTTGGCTGGTTTCTTCTTACTTGCTCTCTTCCTACAAAGTGTAGGGTCAGTGGTTATCATTTACAAAAAAACAAAAACAAGTAAATCACAGTTAGAAGGCACCTTTTCTTTGTTCCAGTGTGGGGACACTTCCAGCTACTAGCCCTGTGACCATACTCTTTACAGTTTGGGCACCTGACTTGCCTAGTTGGTTTGCTTCCTGTCTCCTTTGCTGGTTTCATCCTATTTTTCCTCAATCTTCCAGGCTCTTTCTTTTTCTGTAGTGGAGGGTGGACTTTGTACCCCTTGGCCACCTCAGGCCATTGATTCCTATCAGTGATGCTTGGAATTATACCTACATATGCTGCTTGAAACTTTGGCCACAGAATAATAGTTGTCCACAAAGGATCCCATGTCAGGGTTCCTCATGCTGGTGATAATTGTTAGTGCATGTGGACATGGTTTACCAGTTAGTTGCCATTGCCTGTAAGTGCAAATTTTCTGAGGTAAGTACACAACATGCCTTCTAACTTCTTCCTCTTTGTACACCTCAGTGACCTCAGCTTCAGTAGGGTGGCCATTGGAAACATGCATGTGACCTAGTCCCCTGGAGGCAGCACTGATCTGATAGATGATAGCAGGCAATATACCAGGAGGCAATGCTATAGAAATCTTCCTTCTTTTGGCAAACAAGATCATTATCTGCTCTCTAATGGCATCTACCATGCAGTGCACAGGCAGGTCTTTGTGCTCTTTGATCCAAGCATTCCAAGATTCTGCTAGATTGTTGTTTATATAGTCACACTTGATATTAGCAGAGAACTTGCTTCTTGCCCAAAGAAATGGATGGTGCTCATCAAGCCATTTCTGCACCTCTGGACTAGCTGCCGACACTTTGTCAAAGAAGTACTTGAACTTATGTGGGGAATATGCTCTAGCTGCAGGCCACATATTCTTGCCATACACATCACCTGTGTAGTACTTCTTCATATTCTCCATCAAATGCCTAAAACATTCTCTCCACTCTGCATCTGGAAACACACTTTTTACAGCTGACTCCAAACCCTTGCATGCATCTGTGCAGATTGCTAAGTGCTCCATAGGTCCAATTGCTTTCCTAAGTTGTTCCATAAACCAAACCCAATTGTCTTTTGTCTCAGAGTCAAAGAAGTCAAATGCTAAAGGAAACAACCAGTTATGGCCATCTAGAGCTAAGGCTGCTGGCATGTGGCCATTCCAGGACCCATTCAAAGCAGTAGAGTCTACACTAATATAAGGCCTACAACCATTCAAAAAACCATCTATATTTGCTTTGAATGCACAGAAGAATCTGCTAAACATAACTTTGCCTTCATCATCTATGATAGTGTCTCTCTACCACACTACCAGGTGATCTCAGTTCTATCTCAGCCTTTATCCTATACAACCAATCGAAAGAATCATTCCACTTACCAAAAAGCTTTTCAGATGCTCTCCTAATCCCATTGTACACTGTCTGGTAGGGGATGTCAATACCATATTTGAATTTCAACTCCTTTTTCATCTCTGTAGCCCCTATTGATGTCTTCTTTAAGAATTGAACTGCTCTCTCTACCACCCATTTTATTGAGACCATAGTATTGTCTTCAACCCTTTGTGTAGATGCACACTTATGATCTTGTTTATTTATTTGAATCTGTATGTACAAAAAAGCCATACATAAGTATAATTGAAAGGCTTTAAACCACCAGTTCAATGGAGAAGATGCAATGCAAACAAAAACTACAACAAACATGTGTATACAATCAGAAAATGTATCCTGACACTGCCATCATGTTGGGTTCTGGCTCTAAGTTTCCATGGGCAGCCTAGAGCACCACAGCAGACCCTGTATCTTTCTTTGTCTGAATGCTCAGTAACAAGCTCAAACTCCCTTTTTATAGCATATTGTTTAATTGCTAGCCTAAGCTCCTCCATGCTGGGACACACAGTGCCTACACTCATATCAGGATTGTCCCTGTCCCATTCATACAGTGGCTCTTCATGAGCAATGTCATCAACATCAACAGCTGCTGCATTCATGTCTTCATGCATCTGTGCTGACATAGCTGGAATTGGCACCTCTTGTGTACCATGTTCTTCCTCTCTTGCCTCAGCTTCCTTGAATCCCATAGCCTCATATATCTGATCCTCATCAACAAGTTGTATAGCAGTACCATCGTCTTTAGGGTTCTCTTGAATGGTTAGAATGCTCCAATCAACTACTGCTACAGGTTGTTCATCATGGGGGGTGGGGTGCTACAAGTATCACCACAGCCTTCAACATCATTAGGCTCTACACTATGTTCATTAGTCACACCAGAGACACATCTAGCTCTAGAAGCAGTTGAACTAGCATTGTCATTACACACACCTTTCTTGACAACATCAACAGTAAGAAAAGCCACCCTCTCATCCCAGTGGTCCTTAATCATTTGCTGCACATGTTCATCCCTCCTAAGTTTCTACTCAGAGCCAGTTTCTTGGTCTACAACTCAAACTGCAAGTGTTTGAGAAGACCCCCAGATAGTCTTTGTTGATAAATCATCATGGAATTTAGCAAGAGAATACTGATCGTTCCTATCAAACCAGATGTCATGCTGCTGCTCTGCCATGTCCACTGGACCATATTCATTAGCAACATATGGACCAACCTTAACAACTAGCCTAAATGCACTACCAGGATCGATCCTGGCATCATCATAGACATGGAAAAACATGAGCAAGTACAGACTAAATACTACACACCTACCGTGGTCAAGTGCTTACCAAGGAGGGCAATCACCAGTGGCCATTACGACACGGATCAGATGGAGACGTACTACATCAATCGCCTATGAAGAAAATAGCAGAGCAAGACGAAATCAGCGAACATTAACCTAATCCCTAACCCTAACCCTACTCGGCGCGGGCTATGTGTCCCAATTATGAAGTAGGGCACGTACCTTCGATCCGTCGATGATGGATATGCCGAAGAACACCAAGGTTGCCGTCCGTGGTGGCCGTGGCGGTGGAGACGAGCAGGATGGGGGCGGCGGGCGAGCAGAGGAAGGAGGCGGCGGCGAACGAAATGGAGAGGGGGAAAGGGAGAGCAACGACGCGTCTAATTGAAAGATGGCCAGGGGCAGCGGGGTCATTTTTCGTGCCGGTGCCAGCGTGTCAGCACGAGCTGGCGTGCCACATAGGCGAAAGTGGTAAAAATGAAAGGAGCGCGCTAAATTTGTAAGCGTCATTCTAAGAGTGCGATTCCTGTAAGTGACGATCATGATACCGAACGGCCGGGCAAATCGTCGAACAGCATGGACGCGCCTCCGCCCCCGCAGCCGGACGCCGCGGCGGCGGCGCCCTCCTCGACCTTGGCTTCTGCTCCCTCTCCGGCGCCACCATCCAACCCACCCACTTCTGCCGCCACCGCAGCACCCGCCTCCGACTCCGCCATCACCACCCCTAACCCGAACCCAGCCACCGCCGCAAACCCCACTCAAACCCTAGAGGCTCCAGGCCCCGTCCCCGCGGCCGCGCGGCCGCCGCCGCCGCGAATGAGGCCGCCTTACACCCACCTGGCGGCGCCCATCACGATGTCCTCCTCCTCCTCTGCTGCTACAGCCGCGGCCTCCTCGGCTTCCGTCCCGGCCCCTTCCTCCGCGGCTCCTTCTATGCCGCGCGGAGGGGTTGTTCTGGGAGTGCCTGCGCCGCGTCCCGCACAGACGCCCGCTGGTTACACCGGGTTCGTTCCGCCGCCTCCGCTTGCTCACCAGTTTGGATCGATGCATCGCGGCCCTGACCAGCCCCCGCCTCCATCTTCACAGGTTTGTCTACCCGGCCAATTTCATTGTTATGCTATCAATATTGGTTGAAATGTAGCTTGGCTCTAGAATAACCATGGATAGTGACTAGTGGTAGTACTAGCTGCAGTGGTTTCTTTTCACTAACCCCATGACCTGTATGGATTAGATACAGTTGGTTAAATGCTGCAAGCTAGTTACCAGAGAATACTGGTAGCCTGGACTAAATTTTGCTGTTTACAGCTTATTGAGCATGGGGCCTCAGAGTTAAGATCCAAACTATGGAATGCATACATGTCTTTTGTGATGTTTGTCCTACAGATTTGGCTGCTTATTTATTGTCACTCCAACCACTCCTGAAACTGTCAAATTCAACTCATAATGTAGGGTTAGGAGTGAAAACATTCAATTGCTGATTACCTCTCACCTCCTGTGTTAACTCATGGCATGGCATCCTTGCATCAACACATGGTTGTCAAATTCAGCTGTATAGATATAGATGGTGTCTTATCACTGCTTGTAGTTCATCTATGCTCTGGTTTGGTAGATTATTTTGTACTTAGTTAAGCCATGTAAAATCATTATATCTGTTTCCTGCCTGCTGGTCTGGTGCCTTTCCATTGTCAGTAGATTGCATCCTTTATTTGTGCTTTTGACTTTACTGAAGATTCCTTATTATTGATGGCCTCCAGTTTAGGCAACCTTCCCCTGGGATTCAGAATGTTGGGATGGCTGGATCCATTAACACATCCCAGATGAGGCCAGGAGCAATATCTGGTCCACAGCAGCCCAGACCTGGACTTCCATCATCAACAACTCCTATTCCATCTGGTAGCCAAATGCCAGGTTCACAAGTAAGAAAAACTTGTTTATAAGAGCAACAAATATTGTACTTCTAGGAAACTTACACTGTTCAGTATCCAAGTTAAAATAGGCACAAATTGCATATTCAATTTATTTGTCATGGGATGTTCCATTACAGACGTACAGTTTTGCTACAAATGTGGATTTACCAGTTATTAGTCTACAAATGCTTTGCCATTCTTGTTTATTCTAACTGTTTTTTGTCTAATTGTACTGCCTCTGTGGTACTAGCACCTTAGCTGTTTTTGCTTAAGCTCTATTCTTCATCCAATCCAATGTACACGGGAATGGTCTTTTTATTCATCCCAATTCATGTCATAATCTCTGATTGATTGAACTATTTTCACGCAGAGAGCCCCTCTCAGTCTTTAATGAGGCCGATTACTGTGAGTTCTCCTTCTCCTTTGCCGGCTTCACAGCAAACTCCACAAAGTTCGTCTTCAACATTTAGGCCCCAACAGAGGCCACAAGTTTCACAACCAAGACCACAACAATCTGCACCTGTGCCTCCACCTCAACAGAACATAATTTTACGCAGCAGCAGCAGCAGCAGCAGCAGCATCAGAAGCAACAACAATTGAGTTCCTCACATCAAAATCAACAAAGTACTGCCCCAAAAAATCAGCCACAACTTTCTCAGCAGCCAGCTGCTCGTACTCCAATATCAATGACACCAAAGCCTGATTCGCCAGCTATACCAAATGTTGCTGTTTTACAATCTGTGGATGCAGCTGCAACTGATGCAAATGCCAGTGAAACTGGTACTCGACTAATCACCAAGAGAAGCATACATGAATTAGTTGCACAGGTATGTTTCTACCTTTTTTTTGTTCTCAAGTACGTGCATGTTGCTACTTCTTCAATGTATTTTGAAAGAAGGTAGATGGTCATGCATTTTTCCTCTTCTTTTCTCTTATATTATATATCAACCATTTCATCAGTTCGCACCAAAGATTCTCAAGTAGTGTGAAACGGTCCAGTGGGTCCCTTTGGTTTCTCTCAATTCATTTTGCAAGTCCATCTTTTGCTAGGTCTGTACAGTGGCTGTGGAAGTCATGGCAACCAATTTGGTAGTTTGATTATCCTTCTATAAACTTCATAAATCTAACCACTGGGCATGTTTCTTTGGCAATGTGGAAATGATAATTCAAATTCATATGGTCACAGGAGCAACTTAAAGGATACTTCATCACTGCATACTATTGTGTTTTAACGACTTACAAGAGCTAAGTAGAATTCATTGTTGATACTTAGGGCATGTACAACACAAGGTGCTTAAGCAGGAGTGTTTAAAACAGAATGATGCTACAGCATTAAGCACTTGTATAAAAATTAATTCCTCTGATGCAAATAGGTTCTTAATAAGCTTTAACTACCTTGTTAAGCCCCAGGAGCAAACTTAAGAATCTTATCCACTTTATAAGCATATGGGGCAAATGACATAACGTAAAAGCACTGATTTTTTTCCCTCTATGCACCCCATTCTACAATATCTTAATGCTTCATTTTACCCCATCTGGCTGTGATTTCATCTTCAAATTTCCCATTATATTCATGTGCTTCTGATGACCTGTGCTAAAGCTTTGCTCCAGCGATACTTGGACCAATGCTGAAGTAGGATATAGTTAGTAAATAGTATTGGTTACTTTTGTGAATAGCGAACAATACATTTGTTGGGTTGATATACACCATTCAATACTTGCAGATTGATCCTAATGAAAAGCTGGATCCTGAAGTTGAAGATGTTCTTATTGACATCGCGGAAGATTTTGTGGAGTCTGTAAGTTACTCTACCCTCTGCTTTATTGTCAATTTGGAAATGCATTTCCTTTTCAACAAGAAGAATAATAACAAAGCATCTTTAGTCTTATAAGCAAGTTGGGCTAGGCTAGGAAATCTATTTAGCTGCTGAATGTAATGTTTCTTGAAATGACTAGCTCCTTTACTAGAGGGTTGAAGGCTTCTAATCTCTATTTTGTTAGACTGTATCAATATCCCCCTCCCTCCCTCAAAGTGCATTATTCTATGAGGTCGTCACCATTGAATATTTGGTAGATGAAACTTTTCAAAGGATTCATTCAGTTACAATCATGTATCATCAAATCTGCATGTCATGATATCAAGCAACTTCATTTCACATCTCTTGGGACTCCTTGTCCAGTAGCTAGTTTAAGTTTAATTTGTGGTTTGCTGATAACTGTTTGGAGCAGGTCACAACATTTGCTTGTTCTTTAGCAAAGCATAGGAAGTCGAGCACATTAGAAGCAAAAGATGTACTTCTCCATGCAGGTTCCCATATTATTTTATCTTGTAGAATATATGTGATATTACCCTTTTAGGTTACCTTTTGTTTAAAATATAGTTTTATTGTAGCTTAGTGTTGTCCATTACAGAGAGAAGCTGGAATATCACCTTGCCGGGCTTCAGTGGCGATGAAATCAAACTATACAAGAAACAGGTAGTTCATAGTTGATAGTTGTACATTTCTATTTATCGTTTATTGTCTGTTTTCAAATTTCTCCCGGTACTTATTATTCTTTTTGTTCATCTTGTACTAACCATCTTCGTCTTGATGATTTGCAGCACATAAATGATATTCACAGGGAGAGGCTTGCTCTGGTACCCACTTTTTAAGCTTTCAGCAACTATCCATCTAATTTCATGCTTTGATCGTGTGCATGTAGCCATACATCTCCCATCTTATGTGTTAAAACGCAGGAGGATGTTCTAGAAAATGTTATTGGCAAAATTCCAACCTATATTGAATGCTGTTTCGAAAATAAACATTCTTCTGACTGTTGAATCTGCTGCTTGCATCGGCTGCTTTCCTTTCATGTTGTGTTGATGTATTGCTCTCTTTTTCTTGTAATGACCACCAGATCAAGAAGTCCATGGCGACTGACACAAGAATCTCTGCTGCCCAAGCTGCAGCTAACCAGAAAAATCAGACTCCGAAACCACCAGCCCCAGCTTCCCCGTGAAAGATGACCACGGGCCCTGCAAAAGCCAGTATCACGCATACGCATCATCATCTTTGGTGTTCGGACAGTTGTGGTTTGTTGTTTGTTGAACCGGTGGTGGCAGTACTGTACTAGATGTGTTGCAATGAGTACATGTACAGATGATTTTGTCATTGCGAGTATCTGGTTAAAGTGTTATTTCGTTAATACAAGGCATGGTTCCATGTTATTGTGTATTGCTTTTGTTCTAAATTGTACATAGAAGCAAATAACACCCTCTACAAACTGCTATATCCTGAGATAGCGGCAACTGTGGCGGGAGTTTTAAAACCTTGATAAATAACTTACTCCCTCCGTCCTTACAAAAAAAAAAGTGATGTTATAGGATTTTTTAGATATATTAGGGGAGAAAAGAAATGTACCTAACATCCTTGGTTTGTTTGGACTTTGATTTCCTTAAAAAAGGATGTCCCGTGCTTTACTTGCTCAGACCATTATTTTTTCCAGGATAAATTTCAAATCACATAACACTACATTTTTTTTGGGGGGGAGGGACAGAGGGAGTAGACGTCAACACTGTAAACATGAGATTGTATTCTTCGGGACTTACTCTAATAATGTAGTAATTAAGGAATCTGCCTGACGCTCTCTAGCGCATCGTTATTCATGGCAGACTGCCAATCATTTCGTTCTGAAAGTACTATATGCGCGGCCGCAGCAGCAGCTAACAATAGACATGTCCCTCGGCGCGAACCATCGACCTCGTCCCCGCCGGCTACAACGTTGATCCGAGGCCAACTCCTGGCGGCCCCGCGACAGTTACAAGGAAATCTTGGACTGTTCCGTGGTGTAGGCACGGCGCATGCGCGTGAACCTCACAGACCTGAGCCTGACTGGGCCAGCACCGGCCACGGGTGGTTTGGCGAACGGGCACGCGGCGCAACGGCACACACTGAGCCATCAACCCCCTCTCTCACCCAACACGGGACAGACCCACGGCCCCCACGCCTGGGAGAGAGAGGCCCGTTCCGGTGCTGGGCGCCTTTCGCGGCAACTACTCGCGTCCTCATCCTCCTGCGCGCCGCGAGCGGCGAGTCTACCACCACAGTGCGCGCACGAGGCAGAGCTCGCGTCCGTCCGGATCGTCCGGCCTGCTAGTGATAGTGTGAAACACCACGGTCCGGTAGGTGGTGTAGTGCTGCGCTGCTTCACGTGTGGACCGTACGTGGGTACCCGCTTGGTCGGTCCTGGGTTTCTCTCGCTCCCGGCAGCTGTTAATCGGACGTGGTCCGCTCGTGGTCCTGGTCTGGTCCCTGGTCCCTGGGCAAGGCTAGCTTAAAACTGATTCGCAGCTCAAAGCTAGTATGCCATTTAACTGACGCGACAGGATCTGCACTGCTGCATAGCTTAGCTCTCCTTTCGGCTCGGCGGCTAGAACAGAATAAATGGAGATGGAGAGAGAGTTTACTCGTAGCTCGGCGGTCGTTGTTGCGAGCTGTGAATTGTGTCGGAGACTCGGAGGTCGGCATCGTTGGATCAAGGAATCACAGGAGAACAGCGGCCGTGTCAGTGTCACCTTCACAAATCGAAAGGGGAGCGAGGGGATCGAAGAAAACAAGACTTTTTTTTTGATTTTTTTTTTGATGATTGAATAGTATTACGTGAGCGCGGTGATCGCGTTCAGCTGATATAGTTTCAGCTTGTTTCAGCTTATTCTTCTCACGTAATACTATTCAATCATAAAAAAAAATCCAAAAAACACTGTCAGCGCCCAGCTCGGCCAGCTCCCAGCTGGATACATACGACGGCACGAACGACGAACGAATCAACGCTCCTGTGAACTGATGTTTTCGCACAGGGAACAACGTGTTGTTGGCACTTGGCAGGATTTCGTATCGCATCATCGACGGATCGACCTCGACCGTGAGTCCGTGACGCAAAATTGTACGACCAAGATAGCTACTACTTCAGAGTCTGCGGCTACAAAGCGCTGTGTATTAGATAGATCAGAGTCGCAAAGTAATCACGCTTCATATTCTAAAACCAGGTTAACTGCATCGCATGCAATTTGCAATAGCCTTTTGCTCACTTTCCACAGGAAATCCACCGGCCCGGCCGTGGTTTTGCCACTCCGTCCTTTCGCTGCTAGTGGTCAGGTACTATGCAAGGTTTTCTATGCGGACTTGGCATTTGCCCGTCAACTCGCAGGTGCTTTTCCAAACATTAGGGCCAACTCGACGAGTACGACACATTTCTGATCACGGGTACTGGTTTTGGGCCTGTTTATGTCCCTCGCAGTCGCAACACGATGAACATGTTCATTAAGAGGTGAGGAAAAAGCACTGCGGATGATGGTTCCAACCAGCTTTGATTGCGCATAAGTGAGTCATTATACCATTAGATGTGGACTGTGCACTGACACAGCCACGCGATTAACAATTAGGGGAACCCAGGCGTCCAGCAGGCTCGCCCCCGACTTCCCCGAGCACCCTGCCTGCCGCCGGGGGCCGGCACGTGGCCGGCCGGCGACCCCAACATGCGTGTCGCTGTCCAGTCCTTGTGAAGTGGTATCGAGCTGGCCATTCGTCAAGACCGGCCTCGCCTCGTTACTCTTTCTTCTCGACTTGTTGCTGTCATGCATCTATATGTATGGCGCATGCAATGCAATTTCATTAGCTAGGACTGATCCTTGTTCGCTTGAACTTTTCAACCTGCTTTTTTAGTTCATGGAACAATGTTTTTCTCTCACAACAAATCACTTTCAGACGGCTTATCAGCCACAGAAATCATCAGCTGAACAGCTCCCGAGGGCCGGCGGTATGCCACGTATCAAGGCGGTTGACAATCAATGATAAGCCGCATCCGACGTCCTTTAATCACGCAGCTCCTCCCTGTGTTCTCGTGCATGAGCCATGTTAAGATGAGAGGAACGCGCGCGTGATAAGCTCATGTAGAGGAACAGTGTCTGGAGTCTGGGCATGGCGCCAGGAAGAGTTCTCCGGTACTGGTACACGCTGCTGCAGTGCTGCTGCCATTTTCTTTAGGCCACGTTCGGTGCGCAGGGAATGACTTCATAGAACTGTTCCTCGGAACGCTTAGGGCATGTACAGAGCGTCTCTTCGACCCGTCTCCGTGATGTATTTTTTGCAAAACGAACCCCGCCGACACCAGAGGACGGAGGCCTCGTCGTCTCGCGAGGCGACGGGAACGACTCGTGGCCCGAGGCCGAGACGCCGGCTCCAGCAGCGTTGTACGAAGACTCGATGGCGCGCGGATCCCGTGTGCCTTCGCGCTGGTTCGTTCGTTCTTTCTTTCTTCCCCATCCGTGACATCTTCCCGTCGCGAGCGCCTCTCGTCTAGCGTCTAGGCGGCGCCGCTCCTCCCTCTCCGGGCGGTGGCGACGCTCCGGCGACCCCGCGGCCCCTCCCGCGCTCGGCTCCGGTGACCCTGCGTCCCCTCCCTCTCTGGCTACCCCGTCGAGAAGCAGGCGCGGCTCCGACCCCTGCCCAGCGGCGGGCATGGCCAAGCACCGTCGCGGGTGTGCTCTGCCTCCTCGGAGCTCCGTCGCCGCGCGGGCGCGAGCTGGTCCTCCACCACCGGTGATCACGGACACGAGTGCAGCTGGTCCTCCTCCCCCGGCGTGCTCTGTGGGGGAGCTGGTCGTCCACCACCGGCGTGCGCGGACGCGAGTGCAGCGGCGTCGCCATGCCCGACGCCCCCAACCGCTCGCGAGGAAACTACTGCGGACGCATCTGCGCTGATGACCCAGGTCCCGTTTCTCTGCACGCATGCCCGCAACGCTTCGGTGAGTCCCGTTTCTCTGCGTCAGAGCCGGTGATCTCGTGTTCGCTCGCAGCATGTTCGACGAAATGCCAACGAGGGACACGAGCTTCGAACTGCATCGCCCGGAGGCCGGAGCAGCAACAAGCGACGTACGCGCTGGAGTGCTGGATGTGATGCTTGGCCATCTCCAACGCACGTGCGTGTGAGAAATAACAGGGAACTATGCATAATTTGAACATCTTTGTATAATTTGAACATCTCAGGGTAATGGTGAGGCAATATAGCAGTAATGATTTGGTTTGGTTTTGTAGTGTTTTTCATTTAAAATAGTTGTTTTGGTTCTCTAGTGGTTTTGATTTATATTATGTTGATGAAATTTAATAAAAGGATGCTTTAATAATACATACCAAACATAAATTTAGTATTTGTTTTATTTATGTGGTATTTCCTTTCTAAATTTGTCATTTACATGCGAATTATGTGGTATTTCCTTTCTAAATTTGTGATTTACATGCGAATCAGTGAACAAAATAGTTTTTAAGGAGCAATTTGCATATAAACAATCTGTAAGCCCTCCGGGTCATTACATGTATTTCTTACACAAGCTACCGTTTTATAGCTGCTCTAACCAAATGGTCTTCAGCTTTTTCCATAACTGCTTTACATGCAAATAGCCACACAATGGTATACAAAATTTATTTATAGTGGATTCTAGATACACGTAAAGCATTAAACAGCTTAGAGATGGCCTCTCTGTCTGTGGGTTGTATGACTTGCCTTTATACCCGTCTGTATGATAGATTCGAGGTGCTTAAAGACGAACCACTGTCTATAGGTTATACACGCCCTTATACAATTTGAATCATTCCTGGCAGGAACGACACGAAACGAACGAGGCCTAAGGCTTCGCGTCGGGCGCTGTGCAGGGTACGTAGAACGGTTCGGCAGCTCTTTTCGGCAACGGGCCGGGCGACTCGGGGACAGTGGCGCACTTGCACTACACTACTCACTGCTGGCCGCTGTGGATCTCATCGTAGCTACTGGCTAGTACAGTAGAGTACAGTACTACTCCTGTCTCAGTGTTCAGCTGGTTAGGGCGTCCCCAACATTAATAGTAGGCTGCTGGTGATTTGCTGCCACCTCAGCTTATGGGTCCCGCATGTCAGTGCTTTTTTATTATTTTCCAACCATCCTTATTCTTCGTCGCTAAGAATCCGAGTCAGCTAGCTCGGAGGCAG